TGCCGCCCTTCTCCGAAGACTCAGGGCGGCTTACAATGTGCTCAGCAATAGCCTTCATCCTTTTGTATATTTATACAAAGTCAGCTTATTGCCCCCACAAACTGGGTCCTCATTTCACCTACCTTAGAAAGGATGGAAGGCTGAGTCAACCTTGAGCCTTGGCGAGATTCGAACCCTGCAGTAATTGCAGGCAGATGGTCTTAATAAGCTTAATAACAGGGTGCCTTAAACCCCTGTAGTACCAAGGCTCCACCTCTTTGACGAAGGGGTTGTAGAAAAATGCTTTCAAAAGGCTCTGACGATCCCAGCTGAGTTGCCTGATCGTCAGAGGCTTTTTTTTCTTTTAAATGCCTCTGACGATCCAAGCTGATTTAAAAAGCCTCTGACGATCAGGCAACTCAGCTTGGATCGTCAGAGGCATTTAAAAGAAAAAAAGCCTCTGATGATTGCACGGCTCAGCTGGGCATGGGGTGGGAGGGATTTTTGCTATCAGTTCTCTGAACTACCTGCCTCCATCGTTACTGGATCAGGCGATCCAGTCCAAACTGGGAGCATTTCACCCCTGATATTTTCTCATTATCCATCATCTTTTAACCTTTTTGAACTTCCATCATTTATTGACTTTTTAGTCAGCCTTTTATATCTCTCTCTTAGAATCTTGCAGCTCTTTTTGATATATTTGCACCTACTGAACATTCCCTTTTGGGTGCCCTTTGTCTCGTTCTGCTGAATACCCATCCACAAGACTTTCTTTTTGTTTTTTAAAGGGATTTTTCTTTTTTTCCTCTAAATCTTCTCTTTTTTTGAAGAGATTTTTCTTTTTTCTCTCTGTTCTATTATAAACTTTTAAGGAGTTGTCTAATTGATTCCTAAGTATTAATCCTTTCTCATCTTTATTTTTAGCTTCTTGCATCTCATTTTGATTTTCCCTTTCCACTGCTTCTTCTAATTTCTCATCTATTTCCTGAATTTTGTGTTGTTCTTTCCCCTCCCAATTGTTGAGTGACTTACATTCTGTGTCTTTAAACAAACCCCTTGTTTCCTTATTGTTCTTTATAGTTTCACACACACCTTTTAACATCAAGAATATTTCTTCATATACCTCTATCATCCCCTGTAAATCCATTTTATAACAATTTAATAAAAATTACTCAGTATATTTCTATAGTTCCAACGTCTCAATATTTAAAAACTCTTGCTTAATAAGATTTCATCAATCCCATAATTATATCTCCAAAACCCCTAAATTTATGATCTTTAAAATTCTTTAGTAATTTACAGCCTTATAATTTTCCAATTATATATCTTCCCACTTCTCCAAATTTTAAAGTCTTATTTAACTTTCCTTCTTTTCTCTTTTCTTCTATAACCTTTCTTCTTTTGTCTCATAGAATGTTCTGTTGAATAACATTAATAGTCCAAATCCAAATTAATCCACTAGATTCCACTAGGCTCAAGGTTGACTCAGCCTTCCATCCTTTCTAAGGTAGGTAAATTGAGGACCCGGTTTGTGGGAGCAATAAGCTGACTTTGTATAAATATACAAAAGTATGAAGGCTATTGCTTAACGCATTGTAAGCCGCCCTGAGTCTCCGGAGAAGGGCGGCATATAAATCAAATTTAAAAAAAAAATCCTCCAATCTTTCAGTTCCATAATCCAACAGCCAATTTTAATAAAGCTTAGTTATTTGCAAGATAGTTCCTTTTAGAAATCTTCAGAAGGGAAAAAAAACCTCATTAAATATTCTCAAAATATGCAAGTTGTCTTCTCACATAAAATCAAGGTCAGGCCATCTTCCAGATTTTTTTTTTTTAATTTGATTTATATGCCGCCCTTCTCTGGAGACTCAGGGCGGCTTACAATGCGTTAAGCAAAGCCTTCATACTTTTGTATATTTTTTGTTACTTCTATTCTTTGTATTTGACTTTGTGTGTATTGGGTTCACTTTCACTATGTATACTGCATCTATGGTGCTGTAGCACTTTTCTTCTTGCAGTAGATGGCTCCCTACTTTCATCTTTCAAATTGTTTAAGCTTTTTTCAAGCTTTCTGTGTTTTAAAGCTTCCCTTGGGCTTCTTTTGCCTCTTGATTTTTTTCTCCGTGTATTTAATCGCCCCTTTCTTAGGCTTGGAAGTTATCTTTTAAAATTCTTGTAGTTAAATCAGGTCTTTAGAGTAAAAGTTGTTAATTATCTCACCCAGTTTCAATGCTCTGTCCATGATCTGCTCCAGAACAAATTTTACAGTTCCGGTTGTCCCAGCTTTGTGACTGCCAAAAATGGCCATCGTCCCTGCTGTCATTCAGGAGAGCTTGCTTTGGACCTAATGAGGAAATTGAGAGTTCCTTGTGGTCAGCGAAGTGCCTCTCCTTCCTTCACTGCCCCTACAAGGTGGCTATGACCCTGTAGGGTCTTCCGACAGTGTTCACTGGCTGGATTTCACAGGCCTTAGTGGAACCTGATATTTTCCAGCCATTCTCACTGCGATATCAACTGGAAGTCTGGAAGAAAATACTTCAGTTGAGGGACTTCTGGTTGAAGTTCTGGCACCTTCGGAAGCAAGGTCCGCGAGCTCCACAGCTCTGTTCCGAGGTCTCCCTGTTGGGGGCTTCATTCGAAGCAATCGCCACCTTGTAGGGGTGGTGAAGCAAAGGGGGACTGTCTTGCAGGTTGAGGGAAACCACATTTCCCCTCCCTGACTTGGAAAACCCTGTCATCCGAAGACTAGGAGCAGTGGTAGTCAAAATGGCTACCATGAAGTCGGGGAACATCCAGAAACCATAAGTTTGTGCAGGAGCAGAGAAACAGTGAATGGAGTGTCATCTGGGTAAAAAAAAATGTATTGCTAAAGCCCCCCCCCCCCATATATATATAAAAGGGGAATACATTTTAGAATGAATTGTTACAGCAGCCTGCAACTATTGCAAAAAAGCATATTGAAAATTTTAAAAAGTAAATATTTGTTTAAAAAGAAAACAAATGGAAATTGGATCCTCAAAACAAAATGTGTGATATTAAGAAGGCATATTAAGATGCTGGAACCGTAAACCCACCTTTTCCTCAAATAATTTGCTCTAAGTATTGAATTTACAAGTTAAATAAACAAATAAATTGGACTTGTTAAAATAAAAGCCGAGAAGTAGCAGAGTGAAGCAAAGAGCGCCATTTGCTGATGAAAGTGAATTTTTGCAACTTGGGAGTAAATATTGAAATAAAGAAAAATAACTATTGAACTATACATATTTACTTTCTAATCACTGGAGACTGGAATATTAAACAAGATTTTGAGTTCGGAGACCTCTGACTATTGGATATATAAAAACAACTTGAGGAGTGGAGGATCCCCGAAGTAACTAACTGATTTGATTGAACATTGACAAGACATTAAAACTTGACTTGGAGACATGGTTTCTGAACTGACGAGTGTGGAGACTCAGATGGAATGGAGCCAATGATTCAAATCATTAAGGACCTTATACTGAAACTGCACAAGGACATGGTGGAAATATTTGAGTGTATAGATAGAAGATAAGAGACAAGGAGCAAAGACCAGGACAAGAAGGAAAGAATAGAATTACCAGCTGGAATAGAAGGGGTTGCAGAATTGAGAAACCAGAAAAAAGAAGATAACAAGGAGGAGACACTATTAAAATAAATAAGGACTGAGGAATTAAAATAGGTGGAAAACACTTTAAAAAAGAAATGGGAGGAACAGGAAGAGGCTTGCGGGTGGGAAGATAGGATTTAGAATAGAAAGCTCTCAAATTAAACAGTGGGAAACAGGGCAAGGAGAAAAAATTAAAATGGATTCAGAGTATAAACTTTGAAGTAAATGGAATAAAAGACTTAAGAGAAAAATATGGGAGATGAGTCAAAAAAAAGGTAGGATTAAAGGATTGGAGATGGATAAGAGATAATGGTTAAGGGGGGAAAGAGTTATAGATATGTCATGATTATATTGTAATGATTGTATTAATATTAGAATGATATAGTTTAAAAAAAAGAAAGAAAATACTTCAGTTGAGAACTGCACATCTGAATCTGATAGCAGTAGATTACAGGAGTGATAGATAAATTCTTTCTCATTCCTTTTTTTTTTTTACTTAATTTGTTTCTTTTATTCTATTTTATATAAGAACTTATTAATATTTTGCAGTTTACTTTCTGTATCATGGTATTGCCTAATGGCTATTCAATAATAAACCAATGTGTTGATGAGAAATAAGTTGGATATATTAAAAACTAATACTTTGGACTTGACCTGACCTCAAATATAACAAAACATTCTTCATTACTTTTTCAGATTGGTTATACAACTACTTCAGAGGTTCTGAGTGATAAAAGTCAATTCCCCTTTTTCTACCGGATGGCTCCCAAAGAAGAGGTCCACTACCCACCAATTCTCCAACTGCTTCTCCATTTCAAATGGACCTTGATTGGCCTCTTTGCTACAGAGACAGAGGAGGGAGAGAATTCCATGAGGGCTTTGACTCCTGTGCTGGTCAGGAATGGAATTTGTGTTGTTATATCACAACAATTGGAAAGAGATACACTTACAGAACCATTCAGGGATGCCATCTCTAAGTGGAGACAAGTCAATGTCTTTGTTTTCTTCACAAAATTTGTTAGCATCATCAATGGTTTTCTTCCTGTTCATTTAACACTCGAAGCTTTGCCAGGACACATAGAAGGGAAAGTCTGGATCCTCTCAACTTTTTTGGAATTGCATATAAGAAGGGAAAGACAATATAAATATGTCCATAGTATTTTAAGCTTTGTTTATCAGAGGAGAAAAAAAGCAAATTATGATCCCTTTGAATCCAAGCTCCTTGTGGAACCTCTAATGGAAGATTATCATTGTTCTTATTCAAAGCAGATGTTTTCGGTGAAAGGCCGGTTAAGATGCATCGGGAAAGCACTGCAGAATTCAGGGAATAGAATCCATATTGACCATCATTTTTATAGTATTGTTAAGACTCTAGCACACGCTTTGAATGCTGCATATTCCTCCAGATCATGGAGGAGAAGAAAGGAGGGCAAAGAGAATTTGTGGGCTCCAAATCTGCAGCCATGGCAGGTATGGGGTCCTGATATAAATCCATTAATCTTAGTTCCTTTTGGAAAGGTATTCAAAAGAGAAGGAAGGGAACCATTTCAATATCCTTGTGCTAAAACACCCAACAGGTTTGATCAAAAACCTGTTTGGCCAATCTAATCACTTAGAGGAGAATGTTCCAAAGAAAGGATAGCATGACAGATCTATTTTGGCAACAATGACTGCTAACTTTAAAATGGATGTATGCATAGGGGATCAACCTGTTCACCAATGCACCTGAGGGCAGGAGAAGAAATAAAAGAGAAAATTATTAATGAGAGATCCAGCCTTAAGGAAAAGGATTCAGCCTTAAGGAGATCCAGAATTAAGGAAAAAATTATTGATCGTGAGAACAATTAATCAATGTAATAATTTGCTTCCAGAGGTTGTGTGGGCTCCATTGCTGGAGGTTTTCAATGAAATGACTTCCATTTTTAAATTAATTCTTGTATCTATGGGTTTGTGACTAGTGTCATAGAATTTTATATTTATAAAATTGAAGGAGATTCTGAGAGTCTCCTCCTCTTTTCTGGTTCACTGGCTCAGCTCTAAAAGTATTCCTCTTTTTATGATGTTTTTCCTCTCATTAAGTCAGAATCTCTCTTGTAACTGAATTTATTTTTCCATGTCCCACACTCTGGAATAACAGTGAAAAGATTGCAAGCTTCTGTAGAACATCTTTAATTTATATGGAAGAATGTTGTACTGTATCTTCCCTTCCCCAAGCTGGAGATTTTGGAAGATGGAAAAGGTGATCCCACACTCCTGGTTTCAGCTCCCATAGACCAACATGTTTCTACATCTTCTTGTCTTTCCTCAAGGCTAAGAGCAACTCTTCTACTCTTGTCTTTTCATTTTCTATCCTTCCCTAAACATGATCCAGAGGCATGGTGGCTCGCTGGCCTAATGATGCTAGACATGATCTCTATTCCAATGGTTTGAGTCCTAGCACTGTATGGCAGGGTGAGCTCTCATCCCTTGCCTTACCTTTTGTCTACCTAGCAGTTCAAAAGCATGTTCTATGTGAGTAGATAAATAGGTACTACTTTAGTGGAGAGATGAGTTGGTGCTCTGTGCAAGCAATCAGATTCTTGCCAACTCTGAACCTTCCCAGTTGCACTGCTTGTTTGTGAGGCAGCTCTAGGGAAGGGAGGGGGCCTTGGATAATGCTGCAGGAAGAGCCAGTCATATTTCTTTCTGGTGTGAAGCTAGTTTGTCCTCCTGTATAGTGGTGAAATCTAAAATTTGTTACTACTGGTTCTGTGGGTGTGGTTTGGTGGTGGTGGGGTAATGTGACTGGGTGGGCATAGCGAATTTTTAAAAAAACTTTTAAAACCATTTTTTTTGGTGAAGAGGTTGTAGAAAAATGCTTTCAAAAGGTTCTGACGATCCCAGCTGAGTTGCCTGATCTACAGAGGCTTTTTTTCTTTTAAATGCCTCTGATGATCAGGCAACTCAGCTTGGATTGTCAGAGGCATTTTTTAAAAAAAGACTCTGATGATCGCACAGCTCAGCTGGGCATGGGGGGGGGGCAGGGATTTTTGCTACTCGTTTTCCAAACCACCCACCTCCATTGCTACCAGATCAGGCAATCCGGTCCGAACCGGGAGCATTTCACCCCTGCTCCTGTGGTATATTTTGGGAAGTGGATGTGTATGTCTCACCAACAGAGCTGGTGAATTGGTAGCCAAACTATTACTCTGCAATAGCTTTATGGTCTCCTGGCTGATGTAATAATGCCATAAGGGCCTAGTGGCTCAGCAGACTGATAGCATTGTGATTAACACCAGCTGTCTCTAATTACTATAAGTTCGAATCTCACCAGGCTCAAGGTTGACTCAGCCTTCCATCCTTTCTAAGGTAGGTAAATTGAGGACTCAGTTTGTGGGGGCAATAAGCTGACTTTGTATAAAAATATACAAAAGTATGAAGGCTTAATGCATTGTAAGCCACCTTGAGTCTCCGGAGAAGGGCGGCATATAAATCAAAATTAAAAAAAAAAAAAGATGTGTGAAGGTTGACAGCCCTAATCTGTATTGAAGTTTTCCTTTGTATCTTAATTGGGAAGTTTTCCTTTATATCTTGATTTTCAAATAGGGCCGGCTTTGCAATGATACAGGTAGCCCAGTAGAAACTTTTCCAGATCCAGCTGGTCAGAAGTTTCTTTCTTCATCACAGTTTTATTCTGTTTTGATAAAATTAGTAAAATAAAAATTTCATAAACTTTTCACAGCTAACAATAATATAACAATAAACAATAACAGGTTTGTGCAAAGTCATCTGCTAGTGTGGTGTCTGTAAGGGAGGTGATATATGGGTTGGGGTCTCCCCAAATAAGGATGCTCACTCCTGTGGTTCTTATGGATGCATTTTCCTTCTTTCCAGAAGCATCACATAACCAACTCACATTGGGTTTGCTATCAACTACTATTTTGAGATATTTTCACAAATATCCGTATCAAGTTTGGTATCTTTAATCCTTTCCCCCCTATATCTAATAACATCATCAAATGAAATCCCCAATTTTATGAGAAACGTTGTAAATTAATTGAGTACAGTTTTTAGACACTTAATTTATCGCACCACCCAGTCAGAACTTAACAGGGTTCTTAATCTTCACATCAGGAAGTACTTTGTAAATACTTTACTGACTCAAGTTATATCACCAGCATTTCCACAATCTAGGAAAAATAATGATAGGTCAGTATGATATTTAGGGAAGAAAAACAAAATGCACAGGTACCATACTGTATATAGGGTACCTTGCTCAATAGTAGTAACTGTGAGAGGGATCTTGGAGTCCTAGTGGACAACCATTTAGATATGAGCCAGCAGTGTGCAGCAGCTGCCAAAAAAGCCAACACAGTTCTGGGCTGCATAAACAGAGGGATAGAATCAAGATCACATGAAGTGTTAATACTGCTTTATAATGCCTTGATAAGGCCACACTTGGAATATTGCATTCAGTTTTGGTTGCCACGATGTAAAAAAGATGTTGAGACTCTAGAAAGAGTGCAGAGAAGAGCAACAAAGATGATTAGGGGACTGGAGGCTAAAACATATGAAGAACAGTTGCAGGAACTGGGTATGTCTAGTTTAATGAAGAGAAGGACTAGGGGAGACATGATAGCAGTGTTCCAATATCTCAGGGACTGCCACAAAGAAGAGAGAGTCAAGCTATTCTCCAAAGCACCTGAGGGTAGAACAGGAAGCAATGGGTGAAAACTAATCAAGGAGAGAAGCAATTTAGAACTAAGGAGAAATTTCCTGACAGTTAAAACAATTAATAAGTGGAACAACTTGCCTGCAGAAATTGTGAATGCCCCAACACTGGAAATTTTTAAGAAGATGTTGGATAACCATTTGTCTGAAGTGGTGTAGGGTTTCCTGCCTGGGCAGGGGGTTGGACTAGAAGACCTCCAAGGTCCCTTCCAACTCTGTTATTCTATTCTATTCTATTCTATTCTATTCTATTCTATTCTATTCTATATTGGGGGAATGGGACAGGGGAAAGAGAGGCTATCAAATTACAAGAAAGGAGTCCATAGCTAAATAATGGGAAAGGAAAGAATCTCAGAGGGTATCCTCCCTAACTTTTCTAGATTGTTTCTTCAGACTTGCAGTTTTGTAAATGTAGTCTTACAGTAAAGATGGATTAGGTCATGTGGTCTTCGTTCCCATCTGGTCTACCTGTGAGAAGATTAGCCTGGCAATTTTCTTCTTGAGAAATCTACACTTTCTGGTAATCTCCCTGTTGTTTTCAAGGAGTTTATAAATAATCCCTTTGTTTGTTTGTTTTCAGTTTATCTGTCACTTGGTCTGGAATATTTCCTCTAATTGACACATTTTATCAATCATATTTTGTCAATACAGTATGATTGCAGAAATTTTGCTGCACCTTTGGGTTTCACCTTTGGAGACAGTGGTGACAGTTGTTCTGCCAACTAAGAATTCTTGCAAATAAGACAACTCTAGAAGACAGGTGCAAATGTGAAAAGACTATATGAGTTTAGAAACCATGCCTTTTAATTTTAAAATTCCTGGATGTTTCCGTTCTAGTTTCACCCCTTTCTGAAAAAGAATGAATTGTGCAATCTTTCCCTGCTGAAACTTTTCTTGGATGAAAATGGAGTCATAACTGCAGATCTGGACATTGTGAGCTGGATGTTTCTCTCTGAGGGGGATCCCACCAAACAGCAACTGGGGAGTTTTGAAAGACAGAGACTTACAAATATCAATCAAGATATTCTGTCACAGCTCAAATTGCTCAACAAGGTGGGGAAAATATTGATCTCTCTTTTCTTTTTACAAAGCCCAAGGGCCCATTTCAAGTAGGCTAAACCTAGACAAAATGGTGGTTATACTTTACTGAGAATTGAATATGTGAAGTAAAACTTTCATAATTTTCTTAGATAGGAAGGCTTTAGTTCCATCGACCATGGTATCGATGCTACAATAGGGAACACTGTTTAATTTATTCAGCTATGTCCAAAATGAGATTTTTAGTGATAGTTCTTTAGGACAAAATAGAATAGAATTCTTTATTGGCCAAGTGTGATTGGACACACAAGGAATTTGTCTTGGTGCATACGCTCTTGGTGTACATAAAAGAAAAGATACATTGGTCAAGAATCATAAGGTACAACACTTAATGATAGTCATAGGGAAACAGTCAATATAAATCTGAAGGATACCAGCAACAAAGTTACAGTCATACAGTCATAAGTGGGAGGAGATGGGTGATAGGAACGATGAGAAAATTAATAGTAGAGCAGACTTAGTAACTAGTTTGACAGTGTTGAGGGAATTATTTGTTTAGCAGAGTGATGGCATTCGGGAAAAAACTGTCCTTGTGTTTAGTTGTTCTGGTGTGCAGTGCTCTATAGAATCGTTTTGAGGGTAAGAGTTGAAATAGTTTATGTCCAGGATGTGAGGGGTCTGTAAATATTTGACAGGGGTGTCAAATTCAATTTCATTGAGGGCCACATCAGGGTTGTGTTTGACCTCGGGGGGGGAGGGGGGAAGGGCATGGCCAGGAGCATGGCCAAGGGGACACTCCCCCACTTCTCAGAAGAAGAACCGCTTGCCGGCCCTGGGCACCCAAGGGAAGCACTGGGTGGCTATTTTGAAAGGGGCAGGCGTGGTTTATGCAAGCCTGAGCCTTCTCAATCAGGGCGCCTCCCTGGGAATTGCTGCCTGGCCTGGCCTGGGTGTTTGGAAAAACAATACACTGCTGGAAGGGGAAGAGGAAGGGGAGAGGAGGAGGAGGTGGGGCATTACTCAGAGGCCAACTGGCAGATAAAAGTTGCAAGGCTCTGCTGTAATTCTTTTGGGTGAGCAATCCCTGCACGGCTCTCAGGTCCCAGCCCAAACTGACCTGGAAGCGGCGTGTCACCTTGCACCCATGAGCGAGGTGGTGGCTGCTCTCACTGGTAACTGAGCCTTCAAATTGGCATGGTGTGCTCAGTTACCAGTGAGAGCAGCCGCCGCCTTGCTCATGCCTTCTCATCCAAACTGTCGGGTGTTGCTCCGGTTCTTTCCGCCATAGCCGTGCAGCCTTTTTCTTCCAATTCTAGGTATGCCTTGGCACTTGCAGCCATGGCAGCCCAGCACTGCAGTTCTTCTCACTCCAACCAGCAGCCTCTGCTCGCGTCAAGGAGCCGGCAGCCAGGTGGGAGGAGGATGGGCACAAGGTGACGCACCACTTTCAGACCAGTCCAGCTGGCAGGTGGGTGAGCAGGCAGCCCTCAGGGAACAGTGCTGCACTGGGTGACACATCTCCTGGTTGCAGGCTGCATGCAGGGACCGAGGCGGAGGAGTGAGCTTCCCCGGCCAGTGCATGGCGCTGCCGAGGTGGCAGGACTGAGAGCTCTGCTGCCAGCTGGTGAATGGCTGTTTCACCAGGGAATGGGCCAGTAACTGGTTGTCCTCCAGTAAGAGGCGCACCAACCTTCTTGGAAAAAGTGGGGGCGCATTTGCAATGCAGGGTGCATGTGTGAATGCGCAGCGCAGGGCACACGTTCATGGGGAGCGTGATGGTGGGGTCATGCGTGCATGCACAAATGGGGGCGCCCATTGCATTATGGGTGCTGGCACGTGGGAGCGTTTGAGCACTTGCGCGTTTGGACTTTTGGCACGCAACGCCAAAAAGGTTTGCCATCACTGTTCTAGGCAGTCACCTCAACAGAAAACCCCTGCAAATTTTCTTGCTTCTCTTGATTGTTAGCTACCTTCAGTCCATCTGGAATCTAAGAAATTCCAAATGTAACTAACAATAAATGTGGATCTGTCTTTCCATGCCAGTTGGTGTCATTAAATTATAGTACTTCATATATCTATGAAGGATGGAGGAATGCATGTTAATATGAGGAGGAATCCATTGGTTGTCACTTAATGCTTAAACTTTTTCTCAATTCCATCACTCCAGAGTTTATTAATAAAAAATTCATTTACTGTAATCTGATTTGTCAGAAGCAAAACCAAGGAATTAAATGAAGAATCTTCATGTAGTTGTATCTCCTACAATTGTTACATACTACCCTGTTTCCCCAAAAATAAGATATCCCCTGATGATAAGCCCAATTGGGATTTTGAGTGTATGTGCTAAAATAACCCCCCCAAAAAATATTTAAAAGCATATGCAGCTGGTCCCCACCATTTCCTCTGGTTAGGGTTAGGGAGACAGAGCTGGAAATCAGGTAAGACAGCAAGAGGAGCCCCGTCTTGCTCCATGCGCCCCAAAATAATAAGACCTCCCTGAAAATAAGGCCAAACACTTATTTCGGGGTTCAAAAAAAATATAAGACAGGGTCTTATTTTTGGGGAAACATGGTACTTAGAAATTTTATACTCATCTAAGTGAAACCAAGAAACCCCTTGGCTAATATTCACATCTATCTCCATTTTTCATGGATGGCAATTCCTGACATTTTCTGTGTTTTCCTGTTTTTCTGCTTAGTCTCTGCCTCAGTCCAAATGTGTGGACAATTGTCATCCTGGATTTTTCAAGCAGACTCGGGAAGGAGAGCCAGTTTGCTGCTATGACTGCATTCCTTGTCCAGAAGGCACCATCTCCATTCAGGAAGGTAAATGACATCAGAGGAGAGGTTACTGGATTCATGCACATCATTTTAATCAATGTGTTGTTAATAGACACATCTAAGCTTGAACATTTTGACCTTGTTTGTTAATTTCATTATGCCCAATTTCTTCCATATGGGGAGGGATAAGAAAAAGATCTTAAAGGAAGAGAGGAGAAGGACATGGTGGATTGGGCAAGGCTACTTTTGCCAGAGAAAGTCTCTCTTCCACTTGTCCGTTTGGAAGTGTCCATCCATGTTGCCCTTTCTGAATTCTTCGAAATTTGAGGAAAGGTTTCAGGTGAATTGCTTTTTCTCACCTAAACCAACTCAATCATTCAGTCATTATTTCCATCAATGAATCAATTAGACAATCTTTATTAAGATCATAAGGCCAAATAAGCAGAACGATCTGCTTTCTGGCGAAGGTTGTTGAGAGTGTGGTGGCGCGACAGCTCCCGCAGTACCTGGATGAAACCGTCTATCTAGATCCGTTCCAGTCTGGCTTCAGGCCCGGGTACAGCACGGAAACGGCATTGGTTGCGTTGGTCGATGATCTCTGGAGGGCTCGGGACAGGGGCTGCTCCTCTATTCTGGTCCTATTAGACCTCTCAGCAGCTTTTGATACCATCGATCATGGTATCATGCTGCGCCGGTTGGAAGGGTTGGGAGTGGGAGGCACTGTTTTACGGTGGTTCTCCTCCTATCTCTCTGACCGGTCGCAGTCCGTGTTGGCTGGGGGGCAGAGGTCGACCTTAAGGCACCTGGTTTGTGGGGTGCCACAAGGGTCGGTCCTCTCGCCTCTCCTGTTCAACATTTATGTGAAGCCGCTGGGCGAGATCATCCATGGTTTTGGGGTGCAGTGCCATCTGTACTCTGATGACACCCAGCTGTACATCTCCACCCCAGACCACCCCAACGATGCCCTTGAAGTGATGTCCCGGTGCCTGGAGGATGTGCGGGTCTGGATGGGGAGGAACAGGTTCCGACTCAACCCCTCCAAGACTGAGTGGCTGTGGTTGCTGGTGTCCCGATATAGTCAGCTGGTGCCATCACTGACTATTGGGGGCAAGGCATTGGCCCCCACGGAGAGGGTGTGTAACTTGGGTGTCCTCCTGGATGCACGGCTGTCTTTAGAAGAGCCCCAGGGGGGCTTTCTATCAGGTTTGCTGGATACGCCAGTTGCGCCCCTTTCTGGATCAGGACTCCTTATGCACGGTCACTCATGCCCTCGTCACTTCCCGCCTGGACTACTGCAATGCTCTCTACATGGGGCTCTCCTTGAGGAACACTCGGAGGCTCCAACTGGTGCAGAATGCAGCCGCGCGGGTACTTATGGGGGCGACATGGCGCTCCCATGTGACACCTCTCCTGTGCGAGCTGCATTGGCTTCCAGTGGTCTTCCGGGTACGCTTCAAGGTATTGGTTCTCATCTTCAAAGCACTCCATGGTTTAGGGCCTGGTGATTTATGAGACCACCTTCTGCCACCGATAACCTCCCACCGGCCAATACGCTCCCACAGAGAGGGCCTCCTCAGGGTGCCGTCGGTCAGGCAATGTCGGCTGGCGACCCCCCCCTGGGGAAGAGCCTTCTCTGTGGGGGCACCTGCCCTCTGGAACGAGCTACCCCCAGGGATACGACTGATCCCGGACCTCCGGACCTTTCACCGGGTTCTGAAGACTTTTTTATTTCAGCAAGCCGGGCTGGGTTAAAAATCTTTTAATTGGTGAATTTTATGGGTAAGGGGTTTTTAAATTGGGGGAAGCCAAAGATAAATTTAATTTTGTTTTATAGTATTTTAATGTTTATATTGCATGTTTTTTTAATTTTGGCTGTTCACCGCCCCGAGACCTTCGGGAGAGGGGGCGGTATAAAGATTTAATAAATAAATAAATAAATAAATAAATAAATAAATAAATAAATAAATAATAAAAAATAAATAAATAATTGGGAGGACCCATGAAGGGAGAGAAGTTGGGTTCAGGTGACAACAGAAAACCAAACAGAGGACTGCATGTGGAGATTTTCCTTCACTCAGGTCATGCATGACCGAAAGGAGCTGTCAGGGTTCTGACGGATGCCCTAATTAAATCATGAGCCTTGAGCCAAGGTTCAAAAGAAATCCAGTTATTTATTAGGAACTTCATGTCGGCACGTTTCCACGTGAAGCCAACTATGACCCCATGTAACTTATGCCCCAATCATGACCCTGTTTCCCCCCTCCCCCCCAGGGTGTGTCATCAATCACATTTACCAACGGAGCAATTTTGCAAGTTGTAGAGGTCATTCCCCTCTGGCTGCTGTAGGTAACCCTGGGGTACAGCCTTGAGAGAGAGAAGCATGGAATATGCATCTGTCTTTGGCTGTTGTGCAGTTTCCCACCAGGGTGTGTCAGAGATATGTTATAGGTAACCCTGGTAGGCTGCTGTAGGTAACCCTGGGATACAGCTTTGAGAGAGATATGTCTGGAATGTGCTTCTGTCTTTGGCTGCCATGCTGTTTCATCAATTTCCCATCCCCCTTGCTTATGGCAACTCGAGAGCAGGCCAGGTATGCTTTGCAAGTTGACAGGAGCTTTTTCAAAAGGCAACTAGACATTTGACTTCTCATCCAAGAAGCTTCTTCAGTTCTGAGTGAATGGTGAAGAATGGAAGGATTTATACTCCTTACAGTCAGCATACTTTCTGAGAATCATTGAGGCCACTTGAAGGTTTATCTGTCTCTTGGATGGGAGGTGAAACATCTTCAAGGAAAAACAAACAAAGATGAAAAAGCACTTTTGGGACAAATGGAGGACACCTCAAAAATCCATTGAGATGATATCAGTGTGAGAGGAGATATGTAAACTAAATTTAGCATTATTAGGCATAAAATTTGCCTCTTTTTTCTTCAATATTTTAGCTTCCAAAGTTGTGGTTTAAGAAGTAAAACCCAAATATTATTCAACAATCCCCTGTTTGGCAAAATGACCATAATGTCATTCGTTGGGTTGCTATTGAGCCTACCCATTTCCTTGTATTTTTCCAATTTTCTTAGTTATTAAACAGTGGAATACAAACAAATATAACACACACACACACACACACACACACACACAGAGAGAGAGAGAGAGAGAGAGAGAGAGAGAGAGAGAGAGAGAGAGAGGGAGGGAGGGAGGGAGAGAGAGAGAGATACACACCCAAGAGGAATACTGTTGTGGTTCTAAGAGGAAAAAAGATCCTTATATTCATTTTGGGATTAAAGCAACCAGACATAATGAAAAAGAATGGGTAAAGAGAATCAAGGGATCTTCAAGGCATCTTCCAATTCTGTGATAGATAGATAGATAGATAGATAGATAGATAGATAGATAGATAGATAGATAGATAGATAGATAGATAGATAGATAGAAAGAAAGTGGGATGGAGGGATGGAGGGATGGAGGGATGGAGGGATGGAGGGATGGAGGTATAGGGAGAGAGGGGGAGAGGGAGGGAGGGAGGGAGGGAGGGAGGGAGAGAGAGAGAGAGAGAGAGAGAGAGAGAGAGAGAGAGAGAGGGAGAGAGAGAGAGAGAGAGAGAGAGAGAGAGAGAGAGAGAGAGAGGGATTATGCATTTATAACATGCGGAGCTCATCAAGTCATTAAAATTGTCACCAAATCTAGAGAGTATGGAAATAGATTAATTCATATTTTTATTTTTAGAAGCTAAAATCATTGCAGAAAGAAATAACAGCCTTCTTGAATTACTTCAAGATTTGATATTTTTGTTTACATCAAATTATTTTATTTATTCATGTATTTCTCAAATTTATATGGCCACTTATGTATGAGCAGTTACTAGAGTGGCTAAGACTTTGGCTGGTTATCTAGACATTTTAGTCATTGGGCAGCAATGCTCCCGAGATGGTGTATTTCATGAAGGGATCCAGGCAGTGTTGGGATTGAGCCAGTTCGCACCACTTCAGGAGAACGGGTTGTTAACTTTCTGAGCAGTTTGGCAAACTGGTTGTTGGAAGAAAACATTAGGGCAGAGAACCGGTTGTTAAATTACTTGAATCCCACCACTGGATCAAGGCAACCTTCTGAAGGGGTATTCCATTGCAATATGAAGTAAAGTTTATGGGACCTTCCCACAGTCACAGTTAATATTATCAACCAGCCCCCATTTATATTTCCAAAGTAGGCATTTGCCATGGTTGGTCATATCAGTTGTCATCCAAAGGAGGTCTTTCTTGAAATGCAAAAAGAGAAGTAAATAAAAATTATTTTCTGCTTTTTCAGGTGCTGAAAAATGCACCCAGTGCCCAGATTATCAATATCCAACTGAGAATCGAGTCCAATGTATTCCCAAAAGAATAACTTTCCTGTCCTATGAAGAACATCTGAGCATCATCCTGGTCTCAATTGCCCTACTCTTGTTCCTAACCACAGGCTTTGTTTTAATCATATTTATTAAATACCTAGAAACTCCCATTGTGAAAGCCAACAACCGGGACGTCTCCTATATCATCCTGGCCTCCCTTCTGCTTTGCTTCTTGTCTTCTTTTCTCTTTATTGGCCAACCAAGAAAAGCCACCTGTCTTCTCCGACAAGCGGTGTTCAGCATTGTCTTCTCAGTAGCTGTGTCTTCTGTGTTGGCCAAAACAATCACAGTGGTGTTGGCATTTCTGGCCTCGAAACCAGGAAATAGGATGAGAAGGTGGTTGAGGAAGAGCTTGGCCAACTCCATCATCCTTTCTGGTTCTGGTATCCAAATTGTCATCTGTGCCTTGTGGCTGGGAATTTATCCCCCATTCCCTGACACCGATCTCCATTCCCAACCTGGAGAGATCATTCTTCAATGCAACGAAGGGTCTGTCACCATGTTTTATGTCGTGCTTGGCTATTTGTGTTTCCTAGCTGCCATTTGCTTCACCATAGCTTTTCTGGCTAGGAATCTGCCTGGGTCTTTCAATGAAGCCAAGCTAATCACCTTCAGCATGCTGGTCTTTTGCAGTGTCTGGGTCTCCTTCCTGCCCACCTACCTGAGCACTAAAGGAAAGTCCATGGTAGTTGTCCAGATCTTCTCCATCTTGGCTTCCAGTGCTGGTCTGCTGGTCTGCATCTTCTTTCCCAAATGCTACATTATAATTCTGAGGCCAGATCTAAATACTAAGCAACTTCTAATGATAAAAGTAGGGAAATAATAGTAAAATTGTTTTTAGGCTCATAACATTTCATTTTTCATTGCAGTTTTTATTATGATTGTATGCTTCCTTTGCATCAAATTGTCAATTAAAGTCATTTAAAAAACAAACAGAATAGAAATATGAAGAATTTAAATCTAATCAAATTAAAAGTCAGCATAATCTTCAAGCAGTAAAATAACTGAATAGATAATTAAAATTTTCATGCAGCCGGGGATGGACAGGATAAGAAATAAGATGGTTATATTAAGATGAAACCAATGCCCAGGAGACAAATGTTCCCAAAGAAAGTGAGACAGTGTATGTTGCCTAAGGAAGGATGAATATGGAAATCTATATCTTTGAACACTGTGTGTGTGTGTGTGTGTGTGTGTGTGTGTGTCTTTCTCTCACTGTTCTTGAAAGTAGATGAGGGCAGTAAATCTAGATGTTAAGAACACCAGATGACCCCCAGTTACAACACTCTCAATGACCTATGCCAGTTATTTTGCAGGTATTATATTACATTATAGACTTTGTGGGATCTCCAAATTTCAAGACATGGTCTTAAGCCATCACTGCTTTAATACCCTTTCTGCAGCTGGAAAGTTTAACAACACCTGTGGATGTTTGATCCAGGGAAGAAAAAGAAAACATCCTCATACCAGATTGCTCTTTTATCCAAAGAAGCCACATGATACTCTGGTCCCCAAAATGGAAAGCTTTCAGCATTGTGCCATGTGAATGGGAAAAGAATGTATGCTAGAAAACATCAGGAGGACATTCCTGAAATGTCAATGACCAGACTTCACCAGGAGATTACTTACCCTCTGGAGACAAATACTGGGGGGGGGGGGCAGACACCCCTGCTGGGTGTGGGTGTTTTCCAGCATAACTCTGGAACACCTGGGCCATTAAGGAGAGCGAATGTGGCATCCTAGAGCAGAAATTATTTGTGATGTCAGTTCCTTCACAGCTTCCTCTGGAAAGCCAGTCAAGATATTCACCCTATAGTGGACCAATGGGAAAGTGCCTGACAGATTTGGGGCAAAGTGCCAAGATCGTAGACATGGCGGGAAAGAGGAGCACATGGGAGGGGGAAGGAAGAGGGTAGAAATAATGGGCATGGGAGTAGGGGGAAGAAAGGCCCCTCCCAATGGCTCCCTGTCAGAAGCAGATGGTGCCCCCCTGGTGGATTTGGGGCAAAGTGCCAGAATCATAGACAGGGCGGGAAAGAGGAGCACATAGGAGGGGGAAAGGAGAGGGCAGGGATCATAGACATGAGAGTAGGGGGAAGAAAGGCCCCACCCAATGGCTCCCTGTCAGACAAACACTTCGACATCGGGGGGGGAGATACAGAGAGAGAGAGAGACAGACAGAGAGAGAGATACAGAGGGGGGAGAGAGAGAGATAGAGAGGGGGGAAGATAGAGGGAGAGGGAGAGAGACAGAGAGAGATACAAGGAGAGAATGGTGGAGATAGGGGGGAGAGAGACAGAGACACAGAAAGAGATACAGAGGGGGAGAGAGGGGAGACACACACACACACACACACACACACACACACACACACACACACACAGATACACACAGAGAGGGGAAGCCGGCAATAAATAAATACCTGGGCAATGCCAGGTTATCAGCTAGTACTAAATAAATAATAACTGCAGTGAGCCTTGATTTTTTTTAGAGGGTCCTCTATTTATAAAAGTATCCAACAGATGGATTTGTAATTGGCTGACAAACCACACTCAACATGTAGTCCTTAATGGAATTATATCTACATGGAAGAGAGTAAGCAGTAGAGTAAAGCTCTGTTTTTGACTCAGTACTCTTCAATATCTTCATAAATGACTTAGATAAGGGAATAAAAGGGGAACTCATCAAGTTCAGAGATGAGACCAAATTGGCAGGAATTGCCAACATCCAGAACACATGCTCAAGATCCAGAAGGATCTCAACAGAGTTGAACACTGGGCCCTATCTAACAAAATGAAATTCAATGGTAAGAAAAGTAAGGCTTTATACTTAGGCAAGAAAAGACAAATATACAGGTATAGAAGAGGTGGAACTTGGCTTAATAGCAGTAACTACAAGAGGCACTTTGGGTCCTAGTGGGCAATTACTTAAATCCGAGCCAACAGCATGCTGCAGATGTCGAAAAAAGCCAATGCAATCCTAGGCTGTACTAACAGAGGGATAGAATCAGGATTATGTGAAGTGTCAGTACTGCTTGTTAATACAGTGGTAAGACCAGACTTGGAATATTGCACCCAATGTTGATTGCCACAATATAAAAAAGATATTAAGACTCTTGAAAGAGTGCAGAGAAGAGTAAAAAGATGATTAGGCAGCTGGAGGCTAAAACATATGACCAACAGTTGCAGGAATTGGGTATGTCTAGTCAAGTGAGAAGAAGGATTAGGGCTGACATGATAGCAGTATTCCAATATTTGATCAGCTACCATAAAGAATAATGTGTCAACCTATTTTCCTAAACACCAGAGGGCAGGACAAGAAGCAATGGATGAAAATTTGTCAAGGAGAGAAGCAACGTAGAACCAAGGAGAATTTTTCTGACAATGAGAAAAATTTATTTATTTATTTATTTATTATTTGTTCGTTCGTTTGTTTGTTTGTTTAATTGTTTAATTATTTATTTATTGGTTCGATTTATATGCTGCCCTTCTCCGGAGACTCAGGATGGCTTACAATGCGTTAAGCAATAGCCTTCATACTTTAGTAGGGCTTTTGGGGCCCCCCCAAGCGGTGTTCTTCTTTATACAAAGTCAGCTTATTGCCCCCACAATCCGGGTCCTCATTTTACTTACCTCGGAAGGATGGAAGGTTGAGTCAGCCTTGAGCCTGGTGAGATTTGAATGCGCAGTAATTGCAGGCAGCTGGAGCTAAGTGCTACTTAACAGCGCTTTAGTCCACTGCGCCACCAAGGCTCTTTTAAAATTAAGCAGTGGAATGACTTGCCTTCAGAAGTTGTGAGTGCTCCATCACTGGAGGCTTTTAAGAAGAGACTGTATAGCCATGTGTCTGAAGTGGTATAGGGTTTCCTGCTTCTGGAGGGGTTGAACTAGAATACCTCCAAGATTCCTTCAAACTCTGTTATTTTTTATTCTGTTATTCTGAGTATGTATCAGTGGTGGGTTCCTCCCGGTTCGGTCCGGTTCAGCTGAGCCGGTAGCGGTGATGATATGACGTCACCGAACCGGTTCTCCCCCCCCCCGCCCTCCCAACCCCCCACCCACCCACATTATTCTTACCTTTTATTTGGTCCCACCCCCAATCTATTGCTGCCTCCTGAGTCCCAGCTGATGACTAGAGGGAAAGATACTGTTTAAACTCTTGCGGCAGGGCTTCAAAGGGCCGTCCTACAGCTGATCAGTGTTAAAAGCAAACAAATGAGTCGGGTCGTAAGTGCGAGGACTGGTCGTAAGTGCGAGGACCTTCCAGAAATGACTCTGACCAGCTAGCCACACCCACCTAGTCACATGACCTCCAAGCCACACCCACAAAATAAGCCACGCCTACAGAACCGGTAGTAAAAAAATTTAGAACCTACCCCTGATATATATTTGTGTGTATCAATGTACCTTATCTCCAAACAAGAAACATTTTTTTTTCTGACAACTGACCCAGATATACCAGGAACATAGCAATACCCAACCACCCTTTTCAAGATCTTGGCAGTCTTGGTAGGGGAACCATACACAACCTCAGAGATGTGAAGGCCGAAGAGTCCCACAACCAAAACCAGAAGAAGGGAAACCATGTCTCTTCAAACCAGTTTTTTGGTGAGTGTGTCAAGGAATTGGTGTCAAATTAAAAAAAAAAATCTATTGACCCTATATCTTTTTCCATATTTATGCAATGATACAACCCCCCCCCAAAAAAAAGACATTCAGTGTCCTCAATCTAGAGTGGCACCAAACTCCATAGCTCTGGGTGATCTTACTCAGCAGTTTCTGGAGAAAATGTACCATGTTGAAGGACAGCAGAAGTCAACAACAATACTGTGTCTTCCTCCAGCATCATTTTCTGGACATGTCCTGACAGGACAGATCATAATCATAATCACAACAGAACACTTCCCTCAAGGGTGTATCTGTAATTTTTCACTAACATTATTATTATTATAATTATTATTATAATTTATTTTGTATACCGCCCTTCTCCCGAAGGACTCGGGGCAGTGAACAGCCAGCAGATAAAATACAGAAAATACAAAAATTAAAACAATATTAAAAACCAATTAAATTAATTTGGCCCACAGTTAAAACACCCCCATATTAAAAAACCCATAATTTAGAAATTTAAAATTAAAATAATTTAAAAAATATGGTCAGGTCAGCCCAGCTTGATGAAACAAAAATGTCTTTAAGGCACGGCGGAAAGTGCGCAGATCCGGGATCCACCGTATCTCCGGGGGCAACTCGTTCCAGAGGGTCGGTGCCCCCACAGAGAAGGCTCTCCCCCTGGGGGCCGCCAGCTGACATTGTTTGGCCGACAGAACCCTGAGGAGCCCCTCTCTGTGGGAGCGTACTGGTCGGTGGGAGGCTACTGGCGGCAGAAGGCGGTCTCGTAAATACCCAGGCCCTAAGCCATGGAGCACTCTAAAGGAGGTAACCAGTACCTTGAAGTGCACCCGGAAGACCACTGGGAGCCAGTGCAGCTCACGCAGGAGAGGTGTTACATGGGAGCGTCGAGTCACCACCCGCGTGGCCACATTCTGGACCAGTTGGAGCCTCTGGGTGTTCCTCAAGGGACATGATGTATATCAGCTTCCTTTCTGCAGATGGAGCCAAGGAAGAAGTTGAGGATCCCCAGAGGAAAAGCTGCTTCTCACTGTAATTATCACCATCCTGCTCTTTGACATCTCTCCATCTATTTATCCTGCCTTTGCTATAAAAAAAACAGACTGAAGCATCAGAAAAGGATAAATGCTTCAGGTCACTCTCTGTGATGTATGAATTTTAAAAAGGCAGGGGCTGTGCTGTTAAATGTACCCTTCTTTCCTTCCCAGGTGAAGCTTGGTTGGTCTCTGTTTCAACCAAGAAAAGCACTGGCTCTTGTGAGAAGGCTTTTAATTCTTCAACTCTTGTTTTCAAA